TGCATTTTGGTCTAAGACATCTTTGAGTACTTTTGTAAGTGGTGGAAAATATGAATTGAAGTTCATTTCTTTTGTAGATGGATATCCAATTGTTCTAGTCCTACTTGTTGAAACAATTATATTTTCTCCACTTTGCACCTTTGTTGTTTATATATTTGATGCCTAATTTTATTCCATGGACGTATTTTTCATCTTTATACCAATTCTATAATATCTTGGTTACTGTAATTGTATAAAAAGGCTTAAAATCAGTTAATGTCAGTACTCTGATTTTAAAAGAGATATGTTTAAAAAGTATATATTTATTATATATATATAAATTACATATAATTTATATATAAATTATATATTTAATGTATTTAGTGTAATTTATATATATATATATATATAAATTTACCCATAAATATATAATTTATTCATGTAGTTATCATTTCCAATGTTCTCCACTGCTTTGTGCATATGCGTTTTCCAACTGGTATCATTTTCCTCCTGCCTAAAGACTTTCTTTTATGTTTTTTGTATTGCAGTTCTACTGCTAATGAATTATTTCACCTTCATTTTTGTATTAAATTTTAAAAATTCAGGTGAAATTTGTATAACATTAAATTAACCATTTTAAAGTGAACAAGTCAGCAGCATTTAGTACATTCACCATGATATGCAACCACCACTCCTGTCAAGCTTCAAAACATTTTCATCCCTCCCAAATAAAATCCCATTAAGCAGTTCCTCCCTATTCCTCATTTCCCCTAGCCTCTGGCAACCACCAATCTTCTTTCTGATTCAATGATTTTATCGATTTTGAGTATTTCTCATCAAAGGAATTATATGTGACTGTCTTAGTCAGTTTGGGTTACTGTAATAAAAGTATCATAAACGGAGTGGCTTAAACAACACACATTTATTTATCACAGCTGTGGAGGCTGGGAAGTCCAAGATCAAGGTGCCAGCAGATCCTGTGTCTGGTGAGGGCTCTCTTCCTGGTTTGCAGACGGCTGCCTTCTCCTTGTATCCTCCTATGGTGAAGAGAGCAGAGAGAGAAATAAGCTCTCTGGTGTCTCTTCTTTATAAGGGTACTACTCCCATCACAAGGGCTCCACTCTCATGACCTAATTACTCCCTACAAGCCCCACATCCTAATACCATCCCAGTGGAGGTTAGGGAGGTTTCAACATATGACTTCTATGGGACATAAACATACAGTCCATAAAGTGACCTTTTGTGTCAGGCTCTTTCACTTGGTATAGTGTTCATCCATGTTGAAGCAAGTATCAATACTTTATTCCTTTTTATGGCTGGAGAATATTCTATTGTGTGAATAGAGCCCAGTTTGTTTATCCACGCGTCTGTTGATACACATTTGAGTTGTTTCCACCTTTTGGCTATTGTGAACAGTGCTGCTGTGAACATTCATGACTTATTTGAGTTTCAAGGATTCATTTGATTGCCCATTTTCAATTCTGTGTAGTATATACTTAGGAATGGAATTGCTGGATCATATGGTAATTCTATGTTTAGCGTTTTGAACAACTTTCAAACTATATTCCACAATGGCTGCAATGTTTTGTATTCCTACCAGCAATGTGTGTGGATTCCAATTTCTGTACATCAAGCATGTCAAACTTGCAGCCAGCATGAGGCCCGCCGGCTGCGAGTTTGACATACTTTTTCTACATCCTCACCAACACTTGTTTTTGTTTTTTACTACTACTATTATTATTACTAGTGGCCCGGTGCATGAAATTCATGCAGGGGGCGGGGGGTGTCCCTCAGCCTGGCCTGCATCCTCTCCAATCTGGGACCCCTCAGGGGATGTCTGACTGCTCTCTTGCATTCTGGGACCACTGGCTCCTAACAGCTCACCTGCCTGCCTGCCTGATCGCCCCTAACCACTCTGCCTGCCAGCCTGCTCACCCCCAACTGCCCCCCCCCCACCAGCCTGATCACCCCCAACTGTTCTCCCCTCCTGGCCTGATAGCCCCTAACCACCTCTGCCTCGGCCCCACCACCATGGCTTTGTCCATAAGGACGTCCAGAACGTCTCCTGGAAGGTCTCCCAGTCTAATTAGCATATTACCCTTTTATTAGTATAGATTACTACTATCCAAGTAGATGTGAAGTGATGTCTCATTATCCTTTTTAAAAAATATGTTTTTATTGATTTTAGAGAGAGAGAGGAAGGAAGAGGGAGAGAGAGAGAGAAACATTGATGATGAGAGAGAAACATCAACATCGATCAGCTGCCTGCACACTCCCTACTGGGAATTGAGCCCACAGCCTGGGCATGTGCCCTGACTGGGAATCGAACCGGTGACCAAGTACCAAGAATAACAATAAATATTGAAGACATATTTTGACCATGAAATCTTTCCAGTTGCATTGCAGCTCTTATCTATGTGTATTCTTACAATGCTTCCTGCTTTCTGCAGGTACCTTGAGAGATGTTGTCATTTAGAGAACTTGGCAGAAACAGTTACTAAAATCATAGCATAAAAGTAGCCGCTTGATCAATTCTGTGGTGGCCATGGACTCCCAGCAGACTTAGTTCCTCAACCTGTTGTATACCCTTCATGTATGAGTATGGCCTCAAGCTCAGTGGAAATAAATTACATAATCCACTTTAGAAGAGTGCCCTTAAACTGTCAATTCCCTACTGCCCCTATTTGTATCCTGTTCTAATGGTTCTGTCTTCCCGTTTTTTAGGAGAACATTTCAGGGTAAGAATAGGAAACGTGCTGAGAAGATGAATCCCAAGACTGATTTGGAAACGAACTTTGCTGAGTGTGTTTTAAATGTAGGAAAAGTCATCCTTGGGGAGAAGCAAAGGAATGAAATGGACCCTCACCTGCAGAAAGAACAGTATCTAAGCATCCTGCATGCAATTTGTGCTCTGCTGAATTCTGGTGGAGGAGTGATCAAGATTGAGATTGCGAATGAAGACTACGATTATAGGAGCCATGGAGTAGGATTGAAATGGCGTTCAATGTTCAATGGCTATTTAGATGAGATGCAACAGGAAGAACAAAACCTCTTTTTCATTTTTGTGAAATCGTGGAATGCAAAGGCCTCTGGGGTACGGCTTGCTACTTTGTCCTCCAATTTGTACCAGAGACATAAAACGTCTACTAAGGAGATGACGTCTGAGGAAGCACTGGCATTCCTCAAAGGGGAGACTCGGCCTCTTAGCAATACTCATGCTTCCAGTTTAAGCCCCCAGAATATTCAGGATTGTGTACAAAGCGAAGATGACATAAAGGCCTCCGCTGATGCGTTATTTGCTAGAAATGACCTCCAGTACTTGGAAGAGCTCAGTTTTACTCAGTCCACTCATGTTGAATTTAAAATGTTCTCAGAAGAGGAACTGCAACACTTTGAGAAGAATCTCTCCAGATGTGTGTCTGCATTTGCAAACACCGAAGGGGGGTACATATTTTTGGGGGTGAATGAAAAGACCCGTCAAGTTGTTGGATATGAAAAAAAGAAAACAGATCTCACCACCATCAGGAACTCCATTGGTCGCTGTATTAGGAAGCTACCTGTCCATCATTTCTGTACCCAGAGGTGTGAGATAAAATATGCCATCAAATTCCTTGAAGTAAAAAATCAGCGGGCCCTCCGTGGATATGTCTATGCAGTCAAGGTGGAGCCATTCTGCTGCGCCGTGTTTGCCAAAGAGCCTAGTGCCTGGCAGGTGAAGGACAACCGGGTGGTACGGCTGGCCACCAAGGAATGGGCAACTCGGATGATAGAAGCCGACCCAGGTCAGACAATAACTGTCATGTTGGGTGGGGGGTTGGAGGGAGGAGAGGGAGGTATTGCTTTGAAATTGTGGGAAAGAGAGGTCCTCTCTGAGTTGCAGATAGCTGATTTATTAATTCCTATAGATGCAGTTGGTGGGCACTGCCCTTCTTTCCCTCTGCCCATCTGAAATATCCTGCGTGCACAGATGCCCTGGGCTAGTTGACCCACTAGACCAGGGGTCCTCAAACTACGGCCCGCGGGCCACATGCAAATACAAATATTGTATTTGTTCCCGTTTTGTTTTTTTACTTCAAAATAAGATTATGTGCAGTGTGCATAGGAATTTGTTCATAGTTTTTTTTTTTTTTAAACTATAGTCTGGCCCTCCAACGGTCTGAGGGACAGTGAACTGGCCCCTGTTTAAAAAGTTTGAGGACCCCTGCAATAGACGGTGGTCCAGGGGGCTGTTTGACCTAGTCATTTCTATCTTCATTTCCTTTCTTATGTTCACATTCAGGTCTCTTCTTTTCCTTTCTGATCGTAAACTCACATTTGATTATTCAGGAAATTCCTTTTCACGTGTCCTCTTTAATTTATTGCCACTTCCTTCCCGTTATGGATGGTTCCCTGGATTAAATGTTCTGCCTTTCTTATTGCCCCACTTCTATTTTTGAGCTCAAAGATGACCAAACTGCCCTGGCCCCTGTGGTTCAGTTAGTTGTAACATGGTGTTGTACACTGAAAGGTTGCAAGTTCGAAACCCCATCAGGGCACATACCCAGGTTGTGGGTTTGATCCCCTTGCGGGAGGCAACGATCAATGTTTCACTCTCACATCAATGTTTCTTTTTCTCCTTCTCTTTCTCTCTCTCCCTCCTCCCATCCCTCCCTCTCTCACCAATAAAAAGCATGTCCTTGGGTGAGGATTAAAGACAATTAAAAGTTGACCAAGCCATGGCTGTCCTTCTCCTTTTCTCCTTTTCCTTTTTGAGAGCCAATATGTGATATTCACCAGTCCCCTTGCCACCCCAAGAGATCAGTAGGTTTTTCTGAGCTGACTTCAGATGTAAATCAAGTATCTGTAGGCCAAGACTTTGAGTTCTAAGACTAAGTGAAAGGCTCAGCAACACAGCGCAACTCTAAGTTGGAGTTCAGCCTTTTTTCATATTAAACCCTTGGTTTTTGTTTCCTAAGATCTTTCCAGACTTTCTGACATGGTCCTTCAGCTGAGTGTGTCAGCTGCCACACCCCAAAGCAGCAGTGTGTGCACTCATAAGAATTTGGAATGTCTGGAAGAACTGCAAAAACGCCACTTTCCAGGTAATTCATCATCAGTGGTTGCTTTGGAACAGGTTGGTTGTGCATCCATATGGAAAAAAATTAGAATTGGACTCTCGTTTTATGCTATAGAAAAAAATCAATTCCAGAAGATTTAGGGAAATAAATGTCAGAAACAAACCTTGCAAACTCTTATTAGAAAATGTACATGAACAATTTAGTGTTGTTCAGATAAGAAAGAATTTCTTAAACAGGACACAAAAGAATTAAACTTAAACAAAAAGACTGATAAATTTTGCTATATTAAAATTAGGATGCCCTAACTGGTTTGGCTCAGTGGATAGAGCGTCAGCCTGCGGACTCAAGGGTCCCAGGCTCGATTCCGGTCAAGGGCATGTACCTTGGTTGCGGGCACATCCCCAGTAGGGAGTGTGCTGGAGGCAGCTGATCGATGTTTCTCTCTCATCAATGTTTCTAACTCTCTATCCCTTTCCCTTCCTCTCTGTAAAAAATCAATAAAATGTATTAAAAAACAACAACAACCATGCAGTGTAGCACCCATGCAGAACCTTCTTAAAAAAAAATTTAAGAACTTATGCTCCTCAAAAGAGTGAAAAGATTTAACTACAATCTTGAAAGACATTTACAATCCATGTAGCTGACAAAGAATTGGTATCAAGAATATAGAAAGAACTTACATAATTTTTCAAAAGAACAAACAAGCCAATAGAAAAATGGGAAATAGTTATAAAGATGAATTTCTCAGAAAAGAAGACACATATGCCCGATACAGTTATGAAGAGATGCTCAACACATAGCAGGTATTGGAGAAGTTGTAGGTAATCAGGATCTTTTTTACATTGCTGCTTGGAATTTAAGTTGGCCGAAACCCTTTGGAAAGCAAATTTGATATTACCTTGTATAATTGGTTATTTGCATACTCTATCATTCAGCAATTCTTTCTAGTTTCTAAAGAAAAATGTGTGCATACACCTCAGTAAATACATATAATTGGAGATTTACCAATATCTCATAGTGTTCATAAGTTCACTGTTTGCAATAGCACCAAATAGGAAACAACCAAATTATCTATTGTCACAATAATGCATAAATATACTGTACTGTATTCACATAATGGAATATTATTATTCAGTAGCAAAATGAATACACTACAGCTGTATGCAAGCACAGGGCTAAATCTGAGTAATGTACATCTTGTCATGAGTTAACTCACAGATTTACCCAGTTCTTTTACTGATTATACTAGAGGCCCAGTGCACAAAAATTCGTGCACTTGGGGGGGGGGAGGTCCCTCAGCCTGGCCTGTGCCCTCTCGCAGTCTAGAACCCCTTGAGGGAGTCCACCTGCTGGCTTAGGCCCACTCCCTGGAGGATTGGGCCTAAGTTGGCAGTCAGACAGCCCTCTGGCAGCCTGGGAGCCCTCAGGGGATGTCCAACTAATGGCTAAGGCCCACTCCCCACAGGGAGCAAGCCTAAGCCGTTAATTGGACATCCTTAGCGCTGCCTTGGAGGCAGGAGAGGCTCCCACCGCCACCGCCGCTGCACTGGCCAGCCATGAGCTGGCTTCTTGCCGATTGGAGCCCCCCCTGTTGAAGCGCACTGACCACCAGGGGCAGCTCCTGTGCTGAGCATCTGCCCCCTGGTGGTCAGTGCACATTATAGTGACTGGTTGTTCCTGGTCGCTCTGCAGTTAGGGTCAGTTTGTATATTATCCTTTTATTAGCCTATCTAATAAAAGTGTACCATGCAAATTAACCATCACTCAGACACATAGATGGCGGCACCCATAGCCACAAGATGGTGGTGCCCAGTCCTCTCAGCCCCACTGGAGTCCTCCAGTCCTGGGGGCAGCTGCTGAGAGCAGGGCCTGCATGGCCATCGCCGTTGCGACCGGAAGTGGCCAAGCTGGCCCACAGACCATGCACAGCAGGGCCCACTTGGCCGTCACCTTCGGTGACCTGGGAGCGGCCAAGCGGGCCCTGTAGACAGCAGAGAACCACTGGGAGGGGGCTTAAGCCATCAGCAGGACATACCCTGAGGGCTCCTGGATTGGAGAGGGTGCATGTCGGGCTGAGGGACTCCCCCAGCCCCGCCCCCCCCCCCCCACGAATTTCATGCACTGGGCCTCTAGTCTATATATATAAAAGGTAATATGCAAAGTGTCCAGCAGGAGTTTGACTGGGAGACCGGGAGTTCTATCGCTTGCTATGACATGCGCTGACCACCACGGGGCGGCATGGAATGAAGGAAGGCCCCGATTAGCCCTTATCGCCAGCCAGGCCTAGGGACCCTACCTGTGCACAAATTTCGTGCACCGGGCTCCAGTATAAGATAATATCTTAAAGTATTTCTCAACACTGATGTTATTAAGTTTTAGCTGTTTTTATTGTGAAATATACTATATATACAGAAAATACATAGAACAGCCTTATTACTTAATAAATAATTAAACAGTGAAACCTATGTACCCACCCACCAAGGTAAAAAAAATAGAACTTTGCCCTAACTGGGTTTGACTCAGTGGATAGAGCGTCGGCCTGCAGACTGA